TCTTCTTTTTGTGCCCTTTTTTCTTTATACGTTTGGAAAAGGGCCGGTTTGTGGTTTGGTAACATTATTACTATGGCGAGGAACCTTTTGCTTACCTCTTTGAGGTGCAATCTGGAACATAAGAGGAAACACTTTTGGCAAATCTATCCTTATATTATTTGTTGGTTCATATGGATGGCAAGGAATGACACTATTCATGAAGAAAATGTGATTCATAATACTATGGTTTTCTCAAATATCATCTCTTACATTAATAAATCATGGAGATTGAGGAATTCCAAAATGGTTTCTTTTCGGGCATCAATTATGTTCTTGCTTTGGGGCATACAAATTTGGAAGGGAGGAGGCCCCTTCATCCTCCTATTTTAGTAAAATGGTTTCCACCTCCTACAGGTTGGTTTAAAATAATACTGATGGAAGTTGGAATGTCTTTGAAGCTGGTTGTGGGGTCATTGTTAGGAATTATATGGGGGACTGCATTCTTTTTTTCTCCTCTCCTAATGCGGATTCTCCTATAGAGGTGGAAGCTTGGGCTATTTTAAACAGTGCTATTTTGGCTCACTATTTAAGTTGGAGGAACATCATTTTTGATTGTGATAATCGTACCTTAATTGACATTTTAGATAATGGTGTTGATGCCCCTTGGGTTATTCTTTATCATATTAGGAGGATTAAAGGGTTACTATCCAATGTGAATGTTATTTGGAGTTTCAATTACGGGGAAGCCAATCAACCCACTAACTGGCTCGCTAAATTCGGAAGTTCTACTCAAACTTGTAGAGTGGGATCTACTCCCCCTCCTCTTTTACATACTGTCTTGGTTGGTGATAATATTGATGCTCCTTATATTCACAGGGTTGCTTCTTTTTAAGTCTCATTGGGTAGCCGTGATTTTGTGCTCGGCCCTTCCTATTTCCTCTACCCTTTTCTTTTTCCTGTGCACTTTGGAGACTTGGATTTTGTGGTTTATGGACAACTATACTATTCTATTATACTTTAATTGGTGCAAGGTGATCCAGGATACCTCTACCATTTATTCTCGGGTATATAAGGGAGGCCCATGGCTCCCTTTTTGGAAGCTCATTTACAAATATCTCTCTTGGTGTATTTCGATGTGCGAGGAGGCCCAGGGCTCCTTTGCTTTGGTTGAGAGGTATTTTGGGATGATTGTTATGAGGGGTGTGGAGTATGGGAGGCACTATTTTCGGTTTGCTTTGATAGTTTTATTAGGGGTTTGGAGGCTGGATATTTTTAAAGGACAGTATCTCTTATATTTGGAGTCCCACGGCTCCAAAATCTTTTGCCAATATTTTTGTTTGGGAATGTTGTACTGGCTCAGGTTGCTGGATTTTGGTGGTAGATTTGCGGGGTGCTTCTTTTGCCTCGGGTTGTCTGTTTTTGCTGTTTGGATTTTTGGAGGAACTTGGACCGCTATGATCTTTCTTCCCATTTACACTAATCAATACATTTATGTTTTAGCCCTTCTGAGTTACAGGTTTTTGGAGGTTACTTTGCCGGATCCCTGCCCTCGTGAAGTCGCTCTTCGACTTACAAGTTTTTTACCTTGTTGCTTTTCTTATACATTTACTTTTTGGATAAATGTCTTTTATTTGGGTTTGATTGATGTATTTTTAGGCTATTCTTTTAGATACGGTTTTTATTCTTTTTTGGGTGGAGTTGTAATGAGAAAAACAGAAATCCTAGGATTTTTTGTTTTTTATTTTCTAGAGGGGATCCAGATTTTCCCAAAAAACTTTGTAATCGTTTTTTTTGAAATTAACACGTAAGGAACCACGAGTTGCTCTTTCTATATAATATATATATATATATATATATATCTCA